TTTTAGCTGGGAAGCAAAATCACCACAGTTAGAAGAATCTCAGAGGCTCCTTCCTATTTTAATATTTTGCAGATATTTCAGTAACTTAAAAATATGTATTTTTAAACATATATTTTAGTATTTTTAAGACTCAAGGAAATACAATATAATTCTCCCTTTAGCATTTAAGGCCAGAACATGGGAAGTAAATTTCCCTTGGCACTTACGAGCATTTCTAAAAACAAACAAAACGAAAAAGACCCTCGTGCTAAACCTTAAACCTCCTATTTTGTGGGAACAGGGAGGTTGAGCTGCTGTGAATCACTGACACTATAAAGCATGTTCAAAACCCAGCAGTTTTCCACTGGCCCAGATGTGGAGCCAGAATTCTGCTCCATCCAGAGCTGTCGGCTCCTGTTTTTTCCACAGTTATTTGTCTTCCATGGGACAGTTTCTATCTTCACCCTGGACTATGAAGTGAAAGCACTTATTTTTCCTGTGTAAAGGAGCAGCCTGGCTCCAACACTTCAGTGTGAGGGAAGTCTTTGTGCTTCAGCAAATAATCTCTCTTAAAATATAAATTAAAACAGAGCAACTAATAATTATTAATCAATGTTATTTACCTTGTGAAGCAAACTGAGCTAAAATCATCATTGCTTCCAAATTCCCTACAATTCAGTTGCTCAACTTCCCTCCAGGATGAGGTTCCCATTCTCTCAATTAGCAAAATAAGCAGCACTATGATAAATGCCATTATTTATTCAAAGTGATCAAAATCATTATGTAATCATTTTATTTTATTTTTTTTTAGGTCTCAGAGGCCATAAAGCACAAACCCAGGGTGATTTATTTGGGGTGCTCTGAGTGGTGTGCCCTGTGCCAGCAGGCAGGGGAGTAGCAGCATCAGGGGAAATGCAGTCACATCTCACTGAATAATCACGAGGCTTTTGGGTTGGGTGGTGTCTTTTGAGGAATCAAAAGAGATAAACATGCTCAGCAGTGTCAGGGACTGAGGCCCAGGGGAAAACCCCCAGCTCAGTGTCCTGCTGAATCACCCCTGGGAGGGGACACATCTGACTGAGCTCTGTGACACGAGCATGAATCACTCCCTGCCATCCCATGGCCAAAAAAGCCCTTCAATGAGAGGTGTGGCTTAATTTAAAGAATATTTTTAAAAGCATATTCCACAAAGCCAATCAAGAAAGAAGATAGTGAAGCTGTGCTGCAGATAAAGCAGGGCACGTGCTCTCCCTGTCACAACCCAGGCCCTCCTGTCTGGCCAAAAGGAAAAACTTCCATCATAAAAATAACTACACATCTTTTTTTTTTTTCAAGATATGGCAAATAAGACACAGCATTCTGCATCCCCATTGATGTTTTGGGAGAAATAACGAGTGAACCTGAAAGTTCCAGCAAATAACATTCTTGTACCTCCTGGAGCTGGATGTTGGACATCAGAGCCAGGGCTGCAGAGAGCAGTTCACATGAAAACAGAGCTGGCCCTGCCTCCAAACGTGAGGTTTGGAAGTTTCCTCTGTGTTTCCTGAGGACTTGGGGTACAATTAACTGCTTTATTTTCATTTTCACAAATCTGCCCTTACTGGAATTTGAAAAGGGAAAGCTATTTCTGCAGTGCTAATGCTTGGAGAGAGGGGAGAAATTCCATTTTCAAACCAAAGCCCTTAATAGCACGTTTTCCAACCCCCAAAACGTTATTTGATTTTTTTTTCTAGAATACAGATATCAGAAGAAAACAGACATGAATTGTGAAGCACATCCTAGAGAACAACAAACCCAGCAGCTTCCAGCAAAACAGATGGTGCTGAGGAATGTTCACTTTGTAGCTGTTCTACTTCCAGTGGTGCTCTCAGCTTAGTCAAAGCCTGACAATAAAATTACTGTGATAAAAGGCAAGAAGTTTTTGTGCAAAGGCAGAAACACTGTTAAAACTGCACGACTGATGACTACGAAATCAGACAAAAGAAGACCAGGTTTTCAGAATTTGGGGGGTGGGGTGGGGTTTGCACCCCCCAAAATGGGATTATCAGGAGCATAAACTGCAGGAAATCAGCTGGGAAGTATGAATAGAGAAGAGACTGGGTGTGAAGAACAGACATCATTCCTGAGGTAAAAATACCAATAGAAGGGTTAATTCAGGTATCACAGTAATGTCCCAACTGGCCAGAAATGAGGAGCTGTGTGTGGAAGTCTTACAACAGCAGTCGACCCACAAGTCACTGCAAGTCAAAACTACAAGTTTCAGAGAAATGCTGACCAAAAAAATAATGTCAAAGTGCAGAAGGAACACTTCTCATGGTACTGCAATCCCCAGATTTGTTGGATTTATCGCTCCTGGAAGAAACAGCACACAGAGGCAAATGCCAATAAGTTGCAGGGTGACAAAAAACTCCTCCCCTTTCCTTTTTTCCCCTGGCTGCCATCTGCCTGCCTGCCCAATTTCATGGACAGAGGATGGAAACACATCCCAAGTTACAGCTTCCCAGCAATCTGCCCAGAACGTCTCTTCCAGGCTTTTCCAACCTCACACTCGAAGGGAATGGCTCAGGAACTCCCACACGGGATTTATTCCATGAGTTCTGCTCAGCACATGGAGGGATTCCTGGATGTTGGGCCCAAGTGAAATGCTGAAGGTGCTGAGTGACTAAAAACATGTCCCTGAACTGTCTTTAAACACACTGGGAAGTGGAAAACTTCAAGAGGTATCTGCAGGTACAGGCAGGGTCCAAAGAGAGAGAGTCGGGGTGGGAGGGGACAGTGTTTGAGGACACCTGATGGAGGACAAACAGTCCTTCTCTGAGGTGTGAAACGTCCCGGCCAAATCAGAGGACAAAGGAACAGCTGAAATGTGAGAAGTGCCTCGGAGAAGGAAAGTTTGTTCAATTACACCACAAAAACAAACAGTGTCACAAAGCCAAGTTGATAGAAAGGGCTCCTATCAGGGCTGGCACCCAGAGCCCAGGGGATGTGGGGAACGGTTCTTAAAACCCTGAATGCAAACACCAACTTTTATCAGAAATAGAGAACACAAGGACAAAGCTTGGCCAAGGTCACAGAAAAAAAAAAAGATTTGCATTGCCCAAACTGGATCTGACTTCTAAGAGCCAGGGAGGATTGCACTGTGTCCAAAAAACCAGCCTGAAAACAAAATAACAAACAGAAAAGGTACACGAAACCAACCAACGCCACCTATCAATATTTGGGTCAGAAAAAGGCAATTCGCCTTTCTGAAGGAGCCACTTCCACTTTGCAGCCCACAAATAATCAATATTGCACATTCCTAGAGAGAAACTGTGCCCAGCTTCAGAGAGACCTCGGGGTGACCAGAACCTTCCTCCGGGAATCTCCAGCTGCCTCACACCTGCAGCCTCCCTGAGCCAGACCATGGACTGCCAGGACATTAACAGGGGGTTTTCTCCCCCAAAACCCATGTCTTGAAACTCAGACACTCACACCAATTAAATATTCTGCAATGATATTCACACAAAAGAAGCCAAGACCAAGATGAACTTCTGAGGAACGTCACTGGAGGGAACAGAGGGAATTAAAAGTCTGAGCTGAATTTCCCTCTTTTCCCTGTACTAAGACAGTAAGAAAAAGAAACTTTCCCACCCAGTCATTCAACCAAACCCTGGTTTCAGCTCTTCAGACATCCCCTGGTGCAGAGCGACAAAACACAATTGAGTTTGGTTCTTATAACAAGTGTTTTTTGCTGTTTCCTGCACTTCAGACACATTGAAAAAGTAAACAAAAACATCTGGACCTACTTCTTTGGGCTTCACTGAATCCAACTGCTCGCTGATTTCTGACTTCACAATCAAGAGTGTAAATATAATCAGACACAATTTCAAATGTTAATGCTGAAGTCTGGCCTTTCTGACCCCAGTTTCTAAGAAAACAGGGCTTCTGTGACTGCATTGCTGGCTTTTCCCCCCCAGTGAGACTTCCAGTCCCATCCTGAGCTGCTCCCACCCTGTACTCCAATGTTTTCTAAACCACTTCACATCAGTAGCGGCCGAAGGAGAAAACAGGCCAAGTCACTGCTTCAGCCAGGGAAAAGGGAGGGAAAATTGAGCTCCCACTTATTTTGAGGGACAGGTCTCCCCCTGTCCAACAGCCTGGGTGTCCTGTTGGGAAACCTCTGTGCTCCAGCTGCTCCAGACAAAGCTCCTCCTTAGGCCAACAGCCAGCAGCTCCCATGGCAGCAGGGGTGTGGTGGGTTGGGATGGGCACTGGGACTGGAGAGAAGGAATTCCACAGTGTGTAATGGACGCTGGATGTGCTGGAACAGGGCTGTGACACAGAGCAGAACTCCCAGGCTGCACTTCACTGCTCCCAGAATATCCTGTATTTCAGGACAATTAGGGATACGGACATTTTCAAACCAAGAATGTAGGAGCAGAAGAGATGGAGATGACTCCTGGGACAAGGCCAGAAAAGCAGGGAGAAAGATGTGAGTTGTGGGATAGGGCTGTTTTCCCTCTTGAGCACCATTTTTTTTGTGTTCAGCTCTCAGGGAAAAATGACTTTCACATTTCTCCATCTTTGCTGCGGAACGAGAACTCGAGAACATCTGGGCAGGTAATGGGTACATGGTATTTCCCTCTGAGCAGTTAATGATCCCTGCACTGCTGACAGGGCTGGGAGTCAAAGGTAACACCCCCAACGACAGAACACGGTGCCACTAATCCCATTCCCTCCTCCGCGACAAGTCCTGAACACAACCTCGGAATGACAAGCACTTGATGAAGTGACCCGACAGCATTTAAAACCAACCTTCCAAAATGGTGCCAGAGCGGTTTTTGTAGCCCAAGAAGGGATCTTAAAGGGATTTCTGCTGATTTTAAACACTTCAGGTTACTTGGGGGGGACAAATGACGGAGGGGAACGCGGCACTGGCAAAGTCACTGCGCCCGTCCCCGGGCCACCAGGCCCCAGTCCAGCCTCAGGAACACTTGGCAGAGAAGAGAAATGAATGTGGTGATCACATTCCACACGCTTACCTCCCATCCAAAGTTTGTTTCCTTTAATGTGCTCCTCTGTCCTGTCATATAGGGTCCAAATCTTTCCCCAACTTCAATCTTCTTTTTGGCCCAAATCCCTAGCCCTGCCCCCGGGATCGAAGATTCTCTGAGTTCAAAATCTGGTGGGATTGGAATGTCATCAGGAATGTAGACGGGAGCTTCATAAGGTGAGCCCTCCTTGGGAGTGAAGTCCTCACTGGTGGGGAAGGGTGACGGAGGTCCCACGGGAATGGGGGACATTATACTGTCCTCTGTTTCCTCCTCTGCGCTTTCGCCCGCGAGGAGATCGGGGTCGGTCTCGTACATATTATTTACAATCTCGCTGTCACCTAAAAGGGGAAACAGCAGAACAAAACACACTGAAATACTCGGGTGAACATCAGTTAATCTCTTCTCGGGATGGAGTTTCCCCAAGCCGAGCTCCCACGCCTGGAGGGTGAAGAGCCAAACCTCCCTCGGAGAGCTCAGGTGGGGCTGAGGGGGGAACTCCCACCCTGCCTGCACGACAGGCAGTGCTGCTGAGGGCTGGCAGGGAGGGGAGTGCAGCCTGACATCTTCTACGGGATCAGCCTTCCAGGAGTGCTGGTCTCTCAATTTTGGAGAGAGGGAAGAAAACACAGAAGGAGGCCGAGGTTCCCTTTAACCATTTACTGCTTTAACTGGCTCAGTGTATTTTTAGAGGGGAAGAAAAAATAGAGAAATCAAGCTAAAACCAAGCTAAGTTTGGTAAGAGCTGTTTGCCTTGTATTTGGGTTTCTTGGGTTCAGTGTGTCCCACAACAGGAGCCGTGGCTGAGGTGACCTCCCAGCAAAGCACCTCTGCAGGGGTAACAAAAGCATCAGCAGTTTGTTACCTCAGAATCCCAGAATGGTTTGGGTTCGAAGGGCCTTGAAAGATCATCTCCTTCCACCCCCTGCCATGGGCAGGGACACCTTCCACCAGCCCAGGTTGCTCCAAGCCCCGTCCAACCTGGCCTTGGACACTTCCAGGGATTCAGGGGCAGCCACAGCTTCTCTGGGCACCCTGTGCCAGGGCCTCCCACCCTCCAAGGGAAGGATTTCCTCCTGATACCCAAGCTAAACCCACTCTCTGTCAGTGTGAAGCCATTCCCCCTTGTCCTGGAGTGAAAACACTGGACACAGAGGGTAAAAAAGTTTGGGGATTTTTCCAAGAGGAGTCAATTGCTAAGCAAGGACATTCATATGGAATGAAAATGAAGCTTTTTCATCCAAAAAGAAAAAAAGGGGAGGGAGTGAAACACGGGGAGGGGAAAAGAAAAACACATTTGTCATACAATACAAGTAGTTGAAGCATTTTTGGGAGCAGCTTTGCCATCTCTCAATTAAACATGAGGCAGCAGGACTGTGCACAGGAGCCCCCACTATGATAACAAGGCCAACAACCACCCCATTGTGGCCCCTCCTGCACGGGAGGGACTCCCACGGTGCATATTAATGACTGACCCCTGATGTCATCGGGGGGAGCAGCACCCAACAAAACTCCCAGTTTTCACTGCAGCTCTGGCTGCCAAACAGGAACCATAGGGAAGAATAGCTGGAAAAGCATGGCTTGACTTAAGGTATATATAATTCATCCCTTCCATAACCTCAGAATGCACCTTCTGTCTGCGAGACACATCTCCTCCTCTGGTTTTTTTATGCCTAATAAAGATTTTCCTGAGTTCATGCCTAAGAAACCTGGTGGCAGACTTGACTAAAGAGGAGGATTTTGATTCCTTTGCCAACATTTTTTTGCTCCAGCTCTGGAGAAATACAGAGAACTGCCTGCTACAGCTTACATGGGTTTCCTCTGCTAGAAAGTGCAGCCCTCCCTACTCAAACATGTCGCCAGAGCCGAGCTTTCATGAGCATGAGACACTCCATCATCCTGAAAATACTTGTGGTTGCAGTAAATGTTTTCTCGCCCAGTATTAGCAAGTCAAATTATTTTCTCCTCTATGATTAGCCTCTTCTGCACTTAAGAAACAGGAATTCCAACTGAGTTGAAAAGCAAAACTAGGTTTACTGGAGCACGACCTGTGAAAATTTCCAAAGGATACAAGGAAAGTATAGAGACACCTCACTACTGAACACTGTAATTTCATTTCTTCTGTGGGACAGTCGGGGCAGTTCTGAATAAATTTCAATTTACTCTGAAGCTGAACCCACATCTGACCGACCTCTTATTTCAAGAGAAATCACAAAACACAGGGAACCTGTTCCTTCTGCTAAAGTCAGTACCCAGGCACTGGTAACGGGCAGGAAATGGCAGTGACAGAGAACATTTGTGGGTCACGATGGTTCTGACACCAGAGATCCCACGTGGCACCTGTGGGAGCAGAAGGACACCGAGGCAGGGGTGTGAATGTGGGAGCAGAAGGACACTGAGGCAGGGGTGTGAATGTTGGGTTTGTCCCCACAGCCCAACACTGAGGTAACAGAGGCCATTTCCTCTCCTCCTGGCACTTGTTGCCTGGCAGGAGACGTGGATCCCCCCCGGTCACAACCTCCTTCCAGGGGGTTGGAGAGAGTGAGAAGGTCCCCCCTGAGCCTCCTTTTCCCCAAGCTGAACAATCCCAGCTCAAACACACAGGTGTGGTGGCTGATGTTCTCCACAGGTCCTGTTTATTCCAGGGATTTGGGGAAAATCCAGCAGCCGGGGTTCAGTTTTGATGACCGTTGGTTATTCTGCACTGCAGAACCTTCCGGACTGCCCTCACTGCCCCTGTGCTGTCTGTCACCCTCAGTGCCCCTCTCAGCTTTGGAACACAACTGGTTAAAAATAAAAAATGTGTTGAAGAAAGCAGGGAATGTCTTGTTTTTTGGGAACAACCCCCGGCTCTCCCGAGCTGCGCTGCCACGGAGAGCTGGACGTGGGACGTGGCCACTCCCTGGGGACAACCACGCTGTCCTACATCTGCCCCTCTTCCAGCAGCAGGGATTGCAGGGCTGGGGAGTGTCTGCTGATGTGAAAAGCGGGACAGAAATACAACTTGACCTTATTGTTACTGTCATGAAACTAAAATTAGTCCCTCAAAGCTCACCAGCAAAATGACTCGATAAAAAGGCCCATTGAAAGGTTGTTTCCACAGACAATCAGATATGGGCATATGCTGAAAATCTGTGTGACACCAATGAGGGTCTTGCAACAATGAGAGTGATGGTTTAGTGTTGGTGAGAGACCTCATGAATAATCTATTTAGCAGCTGTAATGAAAGGAAAAGAAAGTCTGATGTTAAAGGAAATCCGTGGTAGGTGGAATAATGTGTTAGAGTTTGGGTGGGTTTCTGGTATGTTTTGTATTTGGTTTAAATAATAATAATAATAATAATAATAATAATAATAATAATAATAATAATAATAATAATAATAATAATAATAATAGAGGTGTAGCTGGGAGATCACCTCAGCCACAGCTTCTGTTGTGGGACACACTGAACCCAAGAAACCCAAATAGCAGGCTGTTATTATTATTATTATTTAATCCTGCTAAGGAAATACCTACTTATCTGAGATTAATGAGCATTTGCTACACTCACAGACACTGCAAAGAGCATCTTCAACTTCTTCCCTGGGGACATTCACAGAACAGACCAAGACTGAGTTTACCCTGGGCAGGCAGTGCCTGATCACCAGCCCCATCTGCCTCGAGTTTCACTGACCTTGAAATAAATACAAAACTGGGCCTGATCCCACATTCCTGCTGCCCCTGGAGAGCAGTGGGAACACTGGGAACAGGGAGAACACAAATATTCCCCCAGAATTGTGACTTTGTACCCAGGAGTGAAACCACACAGGGAGAGACCAACCTGGGCTTCTTCCTTAGGGAGTAACTGGGTGTTGAAAGGGTTTTTTAATTCACCATCCAAACTTTGCAACTCCTTCCTAACTGGGAGTTAGACACACATACAGGTATGAAAACCTCAGTGTTGTCCAGAACTGTTTGTTATTGGGGTATTTTATCATACAAAATACCATCAGGAAAATACCCACTAGACCAGGACTTCCCTGGGATTCGTTTCCATTTTCCTGGCTCTACAGGAAGAGCAGTGGGTGACCCCAAACATCTTTGCCAACCCAAAGAGGGATGTTGCCACCACCTTTACAACCCCATGGACGTCCTGAGGTTCCTGCACTGTGCGATTTTTCCTTTAGAAACATTCCCCAGGGAAGAAAACAAAAAGGTCAAACGAAACTATTCCAGATATGATGTCTCTTTAGGAAAAAGATATGGAATATTTGAGCATTTGGAGCAATATATTGAGGGGTACTGAGCAACCTGGTCTAGTGGAAGGTGTGCCTGCTCATGGCAAGGGGTGGAAGGAGATGATCTTTAAGATCCCTCCAACCCAAACCATTCCATGATTCTGTATTTCACAGCTCCAGATAACAAGACCACCTATACTTTGAACTCTGGGGTGACAGGATTCTGCCCCTCTTTGCTGTGGACTCAGAATGTTTCACCACCAAATATAAAGTCATTTTTCCTGACCCATTTGCAGACCAGAAGAGCTGGAAGGGATCACCAGCATCAGAGCCCAGCTCAGCCACGAGCACAAATATTCACATTAATCAAGGATGTGCTTAACTACTGCCACCAGCCAATGGGCTTCATCACCCCAGGATATTGTGCTGCTCATCATAACTTAATTCAGGTAAATTATAAGAAATACCTGCCCTCCCCCTGCCTTTTCCCACTGGGAATTCTGCAGGCTCCTCACTCCCACTCTGCCCTGGCTGGGGCGAGAGCTGCCAGCAGGACATGCCCAGAACTTGGCAGACACATCTCTAAGTCACAAAGGACACTGGAAAGCCCCAGAGAACACCCACCCCAAAGTGCCTCCGGCTCAGGATGATCCCAGTGATCAGGTTGCCACCTGATGGCCGCAGCTGAACTACAATAGAGAATCCCAGACCCAGTCCCTGCCGACTGTTCGGGTCATCCAGGAATGGTTCCCAGTCACTCTGCTGGGGAAGGGGACCAGCTCCTGGGCAAGGCAGGGCTGCTACACAGGCACATTTCCCCCAAAGAAAAGAGAGGCTCGTATTTGTGACACACCGAAGACCTAAAACTCAGTGTCAGACCCTCTCTGGAAGCTCTTCTGAAATGTTTGGGTTCCCTCCTGCCAGAAAGGGGGCAGATTAGTGACCAAGCAGGAGAGACACGAGTTATTGCTCTTTCATTAAGGATGGGGCTGAACCATTAAATGCTTTATGGCCATAAAAAAATGTTTTTTTTGCCATCCATGGACAGCATCATTTTAATTAAAATGGCTGTAAGGGAAGGATAATAAACAATAACTTATTTATAATAAACAATAACTTATTTA